AGCTCATCATTCAAAAACTAAAACCTAAGCATAATGTAAAATTGTAAACCAAATGAAATTCTTAGACCACTGATGTAAACCATGAAGCAGGGAGCACAGTACTAGGAATTACTCTCCAAATTACGAGTTATAAATTATTTCAAACATAATAACAGCAACGGAAATTTTTTTAACTACTATGGAATTACATAACCGTATCTAAACGTGGGAGACAAGGAAGTGGGGAAATAGTTTAGGGTAACAAGCCTTAAATGCAAGCAGTTGTCCCTCCACTAAACGACCATGAGCTGGTCCTAAGAAAGCATCTCTTGAGTAATTCACGAAACTTCAAAGCTGGGATACTCATCAGTGTAAATATCCTTAGATGGTGGGTCCTACAGAGAAGCGTAGTTCCACAATTCAGTGTAATTTATTCAACCATTGTGGAACCTCAGCAAATTCTAAAGCCCACAGATAGGAAGGGGCCAATGGGTGGATAGCATTTATCACCTGTAAAACTGCAAAAACTCAGCGTTTCCCACGATGCCCACTCCCTGACCTTGCACCAGGATGACGAGCGAACTGCAGCCTTAAGTGGTCCGAGTCACGTTCATGCTCGTCAAATTTATAACCTGCAAGATTTAATTTGACTATTTTATGGTGCAGATGAATGTCGCTTTCAATTACGTTTGACAAACCAGGCACATCAGACAAAGGTAATGTTGATGGGTTCAAATTTTCACTTCACTATTAATTTCACTCTCTGAAGTAGCTCAAATGATCAAACAACAGAATTTGGTATAGCACAGGTGGAAATTTTTAATATCTTATAAATATGAGATTAATATGCTCTTCTCCCAAAAGAACAGATAAAATTGGCTTCAACTTTCGACCATGGACAACATAAAATGTGAATTGATTATATTATGATATGGAACTAATATGTAAGAATTTATTACCTAATGCTCGAATATTTTTATACTTCATTGATTATACATAATGCCTGAATCTTTGTTGAATTTATAAAAAAAATGTAAGAAATAACTTAATCCATTATTTGTTGAAACAGGAGGGTGGTGTGTGTGAGTGTGTGTAACAGTGGAAGTCTGAAAAGTGTCCACTAAATGGGAGTGTTATATATGTACAAGTTTGCACTTTGCACTAGCCCCATGTATTAAAAATGCCCAGTATCGCAACTGCAAGGACAGCAGAACAGGTAGCCAAAATGGCTATATAGAACAAAAAGCATTTTGTTTCCCAGCAATTGTTTCTATCTAAGGAATTAGAAAAATCAACTTTTGGTTCTCAGAGAATGTGCTTGAACGAAAGAGCAACTTTCAGTATGCTACAACACAAGGTACCATGAGATTTAACTCCATTAGATACCTCAATAAGTACTACAGTTTCTGTGCAGGAATACAAAATCAAGGAAAGGTACAACCAGATAGATCGAGGTGGAAATCTCAACAGCAGGGTCACATCCACTTGGCCAATTTTACAAGGTGAACTGGTTTTCGATTTTAATTACCAAATACAGAGTAACATAGAGTCCTCTTGATTGTTGGTAACTGTTCTCATTTATAAGATGGGTTCATGGGGGAAAGAGTTACACTGCAGAACTAGATCTTCACACTCAACTGTTCAGGGGGGAAGGGATCCACCATCTGCAACGTACACTTCTACAACTACTTTTGGTTCAAGAATTCTTTGGCAGCTAGAATAATTAACTTTATGATGGGTAGGAACTTCATCTGATGTTTTTATTTTTGCCACAGTAACTTCCATATGACAAAATAACAAAATGATAGGATGGGCAAAATTCATCATAGAAGAACAATTTTGAAGTATCATAAAAATGAAGTTCTGCAAGATCCATCTATCTAAATGGACTGTCACCTCTGTATCATTTACTAGCCTGGTACTTGTGCCGTGAAGAGACTAAGTTTTGTTTGATCAGTTGATTCTGAATATATAGAATCCCAGTGAGCGGTTGAAGAGAGGCACACTTATAATCACTTCTAACTTCTAAGAGACATCTACAAATCTAAGTCAACTGCCAGATGCACGTTCATATAGAATGTGAACTGCTATGCTGAGTTTGTTGGATAGAGGAATACTCAGTATCGGCCATGGAAAGAGGATCAGCAATTAAACTAAAATTTTATCTGCGCTCATTGATTTTAACCCCATATGAATGAGAACAGGAAAAGAAATCTTATCAGCCCAACTCTTTCTGTTTGCTTAAAATGGCCTGCACGTCTCCTAGAACTGGTCCAGTCTCATAAGATACTACTCTTTCATTAATTTCCATGAGCTTGGACAATAGAAATATTCCAAACTCTCAATTGAGGAGAAAGAAGACAACTAGACAAATGATTTACCAAAGTACGTACCATACATATTTTTCGAGGAATTATAACAGGTGTTTGCCCAACTCACCTTGTAAAGCATTCAATGCAGCAGCTGCATGAGCTGGACTCAGAAAATCAACAAAGCATAGAACGAATGGATCACCCCCACGCTGCAAGGTTTAAGTTCCAATTTGTTAAGGTAATAAATGCAGGAAAATGAAGAATGGGTGTTGTGTTCTTACATGTCTTGATTCTTTGGTCACAAGCCTTGATTCCTTGTAGCCAACAAAAGGACGAAATATATCTTTCAACCCCATTAATGGAAGACACTTGATGGTGAAAATAAAGAGAAAACAAAGGAAAACTTTTTCTACAAATGAAAGGATACGAGACACTTCCCTGCGAGTACAATTCGCAGGCAAGCCTTCGACAAAAAGTGTGCTGGTAGCATCAGGAGGGAGTGAAATTTCAGGTCTTCCCCCTCCCATCCCCATCGTCCAACTTGCAGCCACCAATGTATCTGATGCCCCAATTTTTGTGACACGAGGATCATCAACACGATGGTTTCCACCAAGTCCACCGCTCACCAATATTGTAGACTCGCCCCCAGCATAAGGTGATATTTGCTGGTACATTGCAGTACTGAGTTACACCTCCATATGCTTGATGTATAGACAAGTAAAAGACAATATTGTACCCACATACTGAAACAAGAGCAGAGAGAGATTACCCCGCCTTGTAGGTATCGGTCATATGATGCATTGATAGAGTTAGTATCTCTAACATGGTGTCCTCCCCTTTCATCCACACGAGCATAATAGTTTGACACATCATGGCCACTAGGCATCTCTACATGAAATTGCAAATTAATAACTTTACAAAAATGGTAAAAGTTGCACCTATTTCAGAGAATCAACTAATATGCCATAATCCCGCATAAGGAAAATGCGTCAACTGACAAGTGTTATATAACAAACTCAATCACTTTGCAATCATACCACTTGCCTTTATTCTCATTTATACAATTCCTCACAAATGGCTACGCGATTTTGGAAACTGATTTCGCGACAAAAAATTTAGGGGTTATCAGTTACAGGGAAATATAAAGGTAAATTATCACAAAAATACTTGTCTGCATGATCATCGAACCCTGCATTATAATCCTAACTCACTGAAAACGCCAATTCCCACAAACAAAAACGCATAAATAAAATATACTCCAAACCCTAATTTTCAAGAAGGGAAGTTACCATAGTCGGATCGAGGTCGTTTTCCGACGAGAGGAGCCGCCGCCAACTGCTGCCTACCATCCCCGTACCCCCAAGAAGCGTCCATCATTTTCCGAAATAGAGATCAAGAGAGATTATGGCTTTGAATTGTGAGATTTCTGATTGAATAACGTAACCGATTTCAAGATAAATTAGGGCTTTGGATTGGGAGATTTCTGATTGAATTGGCGGAATTAAACTGACTGAGCGTGAGCAAATCCCCCTTAAATTCCACTCTTTTATTTCTGTCAATTCATTTTTCCGAGTAGCCACTTTCTGTTTCTTTATTTATTATTTTTCAATTCAAATATTATTTTTTTTCTTTTTTCTTTTATTTTTTTTCTTTTTTATTTTTTCTGTTTCTTTGATTGTATATCATTATAGAATAATGCTCCTCATATAATGTTGGGTTACAACCTTTCACAACGGAAGTGGGACCCACTATTATTTAAATCACGGGGTCCACCTCCCCTGTGAAAGAATGTAACTCAATGTTGTAACTCATGTGTTGTACATGTAGCATTGTTCATCATTATACTCCTCTTCATAAAGATTACAAGTAGAATCACAAAAATTTCAAACGTAAACCAATGGATCTATCAGCTTCTGAAATAAAAAATTATATGAACTTTCAGAAAATTAAATATCCTTAATAATATATCTTCAATAATACTCACTAATCACTCAAAAAATTGAAGATTAAAATGAAATTGGGATTATAAATTTAGCCCCTGTTTGACCCACATTATTTTTTTCATTCTCATTCTTCTACTCATTTTCAACCACACATTCTTCAATAAAATAATATTTTCCATCACATCAATAACTTTTCCTTCATTTTCAACCATATATTCTCTATCACATTACTTCAAAAAATACATTCTCTCATTTTAATGTGTACCAAATAGGCTCTGAACATTCGCCAGCAGAAAGACCAAACTCTTTAAAATAAATAAAAATAAATCAATCAATGAAATAGAAAAAAGAAAATATTGTAGGGGCCAGTCAAAGACTCGAAGGTCACAAGCGGCCCAAACCAAATAATATAAGACCCATTCCCTTTATCCTATCCGACTTTACGCTCTTTCAAGATTCATGCAACCTATCTACCAAGAAAAGGCACCTCCTTTATCCTATCCGACTTTACGCTCTTTCATGATTCATGGATCCTATCTACCTAGTTTAGGCACCTCCGGTTCAATCGGTCTACTCGGCCGATTCACCGGAGTTCTCTCTATTGAGTTGGGCTTTAACTCGCTCCATTGTCATTGGGCTCGACGCCGAATGGAAGCCAATTCGCTCTCCCCAATGCCAGTCTAACTTCCCGGCAGTTTCTCTCCTCCAAATCGCCTGCCTACTCACTCCGGAAAACGAGTCAACTCGTCTAAACTCGGACGATTCAATGGTCTTTCTACTTGATCTTCAAGCAATTCAGCTCCCGTCAATATACGAGTTGTTAAGAAAAGTGTTTGCATCACCTAATATTATAAAATTGGGTTTTAGATTTAAACAGGATTTAGTTTATTTATCCTCCACTTTCTGCTCTCAAGACTGCAATCCTGGTTTTGATAGAGTAAGTTTTTATTATTCATTCATTAGTCTTTTTTTCCTTATCCATTTAGCTTTTGCTGAATCTGTAAAGTTTTGAGCTTCTCTTTTCTTGTAATTTCTTGGTATTTAATTTGGTAGCTGCATTCATTTCTTTACTTCATATTCGACAGAACAATTCCATTTTGTGCTTTGAGCATTGGTTTAAATTAGACGTGCTAGCAGTAATTCATTAAAAAATATGATTTTCAGCATTTGAAGATGCAAAATTGCACACCATTTTTTGCCTTTCTAGTTTCAATTTGTGGCATGTGTAGATTACGGATCTTATGTAGACGTCCATTTCATCATGATCACCAAGAAATTTAACGAGTTCAAGTGTCTTTTGCTATAATATGATTAGTTAAGTAGGTTTTCTCTAGCTTGTTTTTTTCGCATTTAGCTATACAGATTTCTACGGCTAATTCTTTGTATTTATCTGAAAAAATGCTGGAACGAATAGAGTCCAATCAAACTGTCATTTATTCACTTGACCTGCAGCGTTGTGGTTGCGCTTTCCTTGTATCTTTATTTATTATTGCCCCCGTAAGTAGAGAATAGGCCTTCATTCATAATAATATACTTTGTCAATTTTTCTTGATTAGGTAGAACCTTTTATAGATATTACAAGCATATATAACTATCTACAACAACCTAAGCAACTTGGAAGAAAAGTACCAAAGCAAACAAAGAGCTTGGCAGCAATCTGCAAGGAAGTTTTGGGCATTTCACTTTCAAAGGTTGGGTTCCTTTTTGGGAATTTCTTGCTTCACTTTTTACGAAGTGTTAAGTTATAATCTGTATTCATATTTTCTTTTTCGATATTTTGTTTTCATGAGTTGTACAGGAACTTCAATGTAGCGACTGGTCACAGCGCCCCTTAACCAAAGAGCAGAAGATGTATGCAGCTGCAGATGCTTATTGCTTGCTTGACATATTTAAGGTCTTCCAGGCCAAAATTGTTAGAGAAGGTTGAACGTCTGATTCCTTTGATACCTTTATGGCACGTTTCATAAGGTTGATTATACTACATATTATTAAATAAGAACGAGAATTTTATTCTTTGTACCTTCCAATATGATCCAATACTACTTTCCAAATATGTACTTATGGTCGAGACATTCTTCAGGCGATCATATGAATGTGAAACTTTCAAATTTTATAAAATCTTGCACTGTGATTACATTGGTGGGCGTCTGGTTTATTATCTTTCCCATGATGGATACTCAACCATATTGCTGCCAATTTGACACGAATGATTAATTGTTTGTTCAACTGAAGCCCTGAGTTTACTATGAAGGGTCTTTTATCTTTGATTTAAGCTTTAAAAAATCAACTGAAATAATATTGCAGAAGTTTGGCACATGGCAGTATAATTGATTGTGTTATAATCTAAACAATTGTTGCATTGTTCATTCTCTCTTTCTTATAGCTTCCATTATTATGCTGAGTTCTTTCTGGTTCTTGCAGGACATTCTTCTCGAAATTCCAGTAAAAATTGGTCATCTAACTTTGATTTGGGGTTGAAGCAGATTTTTGAGACACCTGACAGTTGCAATTTGGTAACAAGGACTAGACTTTGTGAAGCTTCAGATATGATACGCGTCAATATACCTGAATTACACAGCACCGTACAGACAGATGCAAAGTTAGATTCCATGAAGTCTTGTGAAGTTACAAAACAAGTAGATGAGGCACTCTTGTGGATTATTAGAAAATATGGTGACAGAATTTTGTTAAAGGATTCTGATAGAAAGCCTAAAACTTCGAAAAAGAAAGTTAAAAAATCTTCTGCTGGATTGATGTGCAAAGAAAAGAGACCAGAAATTACAGATGATTGGCAAGGCCCTCCTCCATGGGATCCAGCATTGGGTGGTGATGGATCCCCTAAGTTTCTGTGTGACGTGATGGTAATTAGCTTTATGTTCCTGTTATTTCCTTATATTTCATTTAGGCTATGGAATCATAGCCATACAATTCTATGTTTCACAAATTTGTAATTCCCTTCGTCTAGGACATAACTTTTAATCTTAAGAAGGTAAAAGGTCACTCAACCTTTTAGTGAATTATCATATTAGTCACAAACATTTTTTGATTCCAACTTGATTACTCAACTTTTCTTTTTTGTTCCAGTTTCATCACCCAAGTCAGCTTTCGTTATTAAAATTAGCAGATTGTACAATGTGGCAAACGGATCGTATGAAGCAGCAATCCACTATGTAGAACAATCTGTTAGTTTTACTAGAGGAAGAGATTTGCTGATGCAATTGAAACATGAAAGAAAGTTGACTGACCTAGTTTAAAGAAGAAAAAAGTCACACTGTTGAAGGTCAAGTGACCAACCTTGTTTTTACACAATCTTACTAGTTGAAACATGATATAATATTTTCAGGTTGAAGGCTTAGCTAAGCACCTACGGTGCGTTGGGATAGATGCTGCAATTCCACATTCTAAGAAGCCTGAAACCAGGTTCAATTCTGGTGAATAACTTATGATGATTGTTACAATTTGTGATTTTTGTCAGAACTCAGAAGCATATATTTAAATAGTGTGTTATGTGTAATACTCGAAAAATGTAGCTTTCTTCACTATTAACATATTAGTGTTTTATACAGGGATTTAATAGACCAAGCAGACAAGGAGAAGAGGGTTCTCTTAACACGGGATGCCAAGCTTTTGAGACACGAGTATTTGATAAAGAATCAAATATACAGGGTGAAGAGTTTACTTAAAAATGAACAGCTGCTCGAGGTAAAATATCATGTACAGTTTCAGACTAAGTCGCTTATTTCATTGCTGCTTATTGGAATTCAGCTAGTTAATTGGGCGGGTTTTTACTGATTCCCTGGCCCTTTCCGACATACGAACACAAATTTAGAATCGAATACAAAAAATGTTTTTTTTTTGGTTAAATTCTTTCTCCATGACAGGTAGTGCATGTTAGGTGTGCGGTGCTGGATGGTACAATAGACAAGATTTTTTAATTTATTTTTTCCTTAATACTGTTAATACTGTCCAATACCTTAGAGACCATTTTACCTGACAAGTTGGAAATAGCCAAATAGGCTGTACACAGTTCCCTTAAAGCTGAAATTGGTATATACCAGGTAATTGAAACATTTGAACTGAAAATTTCCGAGGATCGGCTGATGTCAAGGTGCACTAAATGCAACGGGAAGTTCATCCCGAAACCATTATCTACTGAAGAGGCTGTAGAAGCTGCCAAGGGATTTCAAATTATTCCGAACTGCTTGTTTAAGAAGAATATAGAGTTTTGGCAGTGTATTGACTGCAATCAACTTTACTGGGAGGTAGGCTTATGATTGTCCATATTTATCAACTGCTTTTGGTTCTAACTTCCGAGTCTGCTGATGAGCTCTTATAAAAAATAGATGAAGTAAAATGAAAAGAGAATAGTCATGATTTATTTGGTAATGTCAAGTTGGTACTAAGTACTTTAGAGTATATTGCTCGTTTTAGAGGAGAAAATTATTCAATCCCTGAACTGGGTTGAAGGATGTGACTGAGAATGTTTGACAGTAATGTGAAAGAAAATTATTTTATTTCAAAATTATCTTATTTACTTACACTTAACTTGTAAGTAAACCTTTAGACATTAGCGGAACGTGCTCTAACCCCTTCTTCCTCCCTCCTGGGCTTTCTGCCTTAGTGAAAAAAATGGTCTTTTGTGAACAATTGAACTGTTGAAGAATTTGTCTCAGTTTACTATCAAACCTCTGGTTTCCTTTGACTACACTTGATAATGTTGTATGAGTTTCCAATCAAGTTGCTCCAAAACCGATTATTGCATGTTTTCATCCATATCATTGTTCGAGATCTATACTAACACATCCTTTCCGGTGGGTATTGTTTTCAGGGAACTCAGTATCATAATGCAGTACAGAAATTCATTACTGTTTGCAAGTTAAACGAGTAAGTTCAAGGCCACAACATTAGGATAACTCCGTTGTTCCGGAGAAAAAAAGTACAATGTTGTACCTTGAGTAAGAATTTTGTTCTCCTTGCCATTAATTTATGCAAGAGAATTGTTTCTTTATTTTAACAACGTCACCACAACCCTGAAAAACTTTAATAAAAATTAAGAAATAATCATAAACATTATACCATGGTTTACTTTCTGTAGTTTTTATCATGGCCTCCTTGGATGATAAGAAAGCTTTGTTGTATGGTAAAAATTAATTGCATTTAAAGAATAGTCAAGCATGGAATGAAGTAATTTCTTATTATATAGAAATATGTGGTTAAAAAATGACTGGTAGTGGGAAATCATTCTGATTTTTAAGTTTAAAATTTCTATCTACATTTCTTTCTGGTAGTGTAAAATGATTGATGAAAAAGAACAACCTACTTCAACCGATGTCCTTCCCCGCATGTACAGTTTTGTTGGGATATGGTCAAAAGATTTGTTGGCTTGGCACCACACCACTAGGTGGATTGAGAAATTAGAGTACAAAACTTAATCTTCAAGCTTTACCTTCTTGTGATGGTCAAACACGCCTTTATGGCATGTTTGATAGAAAACATTACATTTTATTCGTTATATCGTTCCTTTCACATATCGCGTACTAATATACTTAAAACACGATTTGATTAATAAAACTAGATAGATGAAGATTGTACAACAGACAATAATTTAGCTAGTTTTTCTTTTAAACGCCTTCGACGGATGAAGCACTTATCTTTGTTAGATTTGGAAGTTTTTCCCCTGAAGAATTGGTATCTCTTGGATGAGGATCTATAGATCATGCAATTTTTTTAATACTGTACAATTTATCTTACGGGGCATGACACAAATGTCCTACAGAAAAAAGTAAGCTTTGACATTATTCCATTCTTGAGATCATTGTGCTGGATTAAGATATAATAATAGCTATAATTTGTGAGATTTTTAGGACAATGGGCCATCTTAGATTGCCTTAATGTACGGATTGGTATAATGATATCTTTGAATGGACAGTGTGCTACCCATTGATTTATCGATCCTTAACTATGAAGTGACCGCGGAAATTCAGCTTTAGCCCCTGTTTGGTTCATATCAAAATCTGATTTTAATTCAAATCAAAATCAAACGATCAATATTAACCATACATTTCATGGATGTCACAACTTTTCAACCACACATTTCAAAAACTTCTATCACAATCTATTAAAAATCTAATTTTAATCCTCACAAAACATCTTTTTTATTAATAAAGTCTTTGCTTATCAAATACTTTTGAGTTGTGTTGTCGAAGCATTAACATTTTTATATGTTTTATGTTAATAAAAGCACAACGAAATCCTTGATTAGGAAGAAAAAGTGAGAAGTGGGGTCCGGTTTGATTTTCGTCTAAATGTTTGAACGGTTCTAACAGTAAGTAATTAGTGAACCCACTAACGTTGGACTAGAAATTACCCGACCAAAAAGAAAGGGTAACTTATTTTGTAAGGAAGTAGCTTTTTTTTTTTAATGAAAATGAAATAAAGTGAGGTGTTGTATCCATCTTTTACAGACAAGGTCACCTCGAAACTTTCTACTTTTAACAATTGTACATCATCATTATCCTATGTTGTCCCCCAAATTTTACATTAAAAAAAGGGCCTTATAAAGGCGTTTATTTGACCAGATATATTTCAAGAAACAAACCTATATCCACTTGTTTAGTTGCAAGTGGGATCGAGTGTGTAATATGTTCATATTGATCTTACTTAATGTTCTATTCAAATAAATTTATATGTCATATTTGAAATATTGAGTTAGACAGTATCGAAGAAAAAATGATGGGATATTAATTTTTAATTATCTTCAATCAAGTGTAATAAATATATATCATTAAAGTGGGCAAGAAGTCTCTATTCATATCTTAGTTTGTAGCGGATTTATTGAACTTATTTTGATCTCTGTGCATAATTGACTAGCTAGTCGAGTTGCACAATATGTGCTCGTTTAGATGATGTGTCGTGTGCTTCTAATTTAACGTAGATATTAGTTAATTGAACTAATAACGTTAGTCTATGATCATTATGATTGCTTTCAATCTACTAATACTGTAAGATGAATCAACGTTTCGTTGTCTTCATCGATTTTCTCCCTCGTCTATCAGTACCAACATTTCAATATTGTTTCTCTTCCATTAGATACTCAATCAATGTATATATCTCATTTCTTCAATTCTTCGTTCGATTGCAATTACCTATTGTTTTTCTATTAAATACTTACCCAAGTAAAAAAATTAAATAAAATAGTGTTATACGAATATTAAAATTTGCATAAAATAACATTTATTAAGCAAGAGAAATATTAAAAATAACACGGGAGGTACGTGTAGCAAATCTATGACTACAGTACTCAACAGTTAACGAATATTTCGAAATTAGGTGGGTTCCGCTGACATGTGACGCACCAGCATCATGTGTCCACGTATTGTCAACTATGACGTGAGCATGTCCAATCATCTGCGATTCCCTCTAGATTTTACGGTCCAGATTGGCCAGCCGCAAGTCTTGGGGTCCGCTCTCAACTCTACCGAGAAATTCCACCTAACGTTTCGTCCTCCAATTGGCTTCAAGTAGGCCCCAAATTATGCGCCACTATATTCTGCCGCGTGTTTTCTAGTCTATAACTAGGCCCCGTTTGTTCCTAATTTTTTATCCATAAAAATTAAAAATAAGACTGTTATCCATCACATTAAGCCATTAATTTCAGATTTATATCTCTTGTGTAGGGCTCAATAATGACTATATTTTTCATTCTCATTCTAAAATAATGAGAATCAAACGGGCCTGATTCCTATTTTCTTTAGAAAATATATTTTTAAACTGTAGGTTGATAGAGAATGTGTAGTTAAAAATAAGAAAAAATTTGTGATTAAAATAAAGAGAGAAAAATATATTTTGTAAATAATGAGGATCAAATAACGACTAATATTCGTTGTCAATAAAGGACGATTTAAAAATTATAACTAATAAAATCTGCTTTTTCTTGAACAATTTTAAGAGAAAATGCTAAATGTACATGGGAGCACTCCCCTCACAAGGGGGAGGGGGGCCCACGGCCAATAAAATAATTGTCCCCCCCCCCCTCCCCCCTTCCCTGTGTGAGGGGGGCGTGTACACGGGAGGTACGTGTAGCAAATCTCATTTTAAGATGCCTTCTTTGAAATTTCTTCTATGGTTAACAGCTAATTTTAGGGTTTATTTGGTTTTAAATTATAATGGAATTATAATTTGAAGATCATATTAAAATTTAATCTTAATTATACATTTCGTAAGACTTACAAATACGGTAATTTTATCAATCATTTATTTCTATCAATGTAAAATTTCAACAATTTATGACTTCTACCAAACAAGCACAAGTTACATGCTTGATTTTGATGCCCGGATAAATTCTTTTGGTCCATCAAATTTAATTGTATATTGTTACGGGCCCTCTGAGGCCCTCTGCCTTGTCTATAAACCTCGTCGCCACGTGTTAGCTAAGCTGATCGGTGTACTACGTGGCAGACAAACTAAATCCATGAGGACGAACTGAATCGCTATCGCCTCTACCTAGTGGAAGCACCGAATTCATCCGTCAGTCGCGATGGATGCAAAGGCCCGCACTCTATATTCGTCACATCTCACAGTCCGCCCCACCCCACTATCAAGATCTTTTTTGAAGATCTCCAAAGTCAAGTTTTTTACTGATTGATGGAATGTGAGGCAGGCTGCAAACGGTCAATTCAACTGATATGTAAGAAATCATTTAATGTTCGTCAGCCTAACGATTGATAGATCGACACCTATAAAAAGATGGATCGCTCGGGATTTGAAGTCACGTATCTCATCATCTAACGGTTCACATCTTCCATTTCTTAGTATAAATACCCCCATACTGGTAAGAGTAATGGGTTACATTTTTTTTAATTCAAGTTTGGCATCATAATCTTCACTCGCCCACAACCACGTCCCAGTAATCACTTTACCGTCGTACACCACTTTCCAGTTAATTGAGACACTGACTTGATCGTTGGAGTGCTCGAGACTGCCTCCACTCCCACCGGAAAAGGCCACAAGTGACCAACGACGTGCTATCGTGTGCAAAGAGGAGCTTACGTGGAGTTTCGTTCTGTTCACCACGTGTCAGAACCATTTTTCGAGGTCAACATATATTTTTATTAATTTACTCAAGATGGTCTGATAAAGTGAATTTTGATGAATAGTGTTTAACCAAAAAAAAAAAGTTAAAATGCTATCATTGTAACATTGAGCTCATGTTTAACACACATTAATTTATTTTATGATTCGCTACATAATTATTTTTAATCACACATTCACACAATAAAATATTTTCACACATATATCAAAAAAAAAAAAAATCATATTTTTTAACCATACATTCTCTTAAAAATACTATTCAAAACTCATTTTTTTCCTAATTATGAGAATCAAATGGACATTTAGTGTTTAAAGTATTACATTACAATTACAACATGCTGTGAATGCTTCATTAAGCCTCTGTTTGATAAATTTATATATTATTTATAAGTAATGTATGTATAATAATGAATAGTATTATGAATATGTTTTTAATATTGTTTGATTTTGAATTATTTATATATTGTATCAAAATCGAGACTAAATCTATTTTATTTAATTCATATAGAAAAAACTACCAACTCATAAAATTATTGAATATACTTGTAAATTTCTCATTAGTATTAGAGCATTTTCAATGATGATGTAAAATTAGGTGTAAAATGGTATTTTCAAAACTATTTTTCATCCTCATTTTTCATCCATTTTTTTACCTCTTGCGGATGTATGTAAATTTTCATTTTTTTTCTTTTTTACATTTTTGGTCGAAAAATACAATTTACATTTTCTCCGCATTTCTCAACTGGAAATGCTTTCGACCACTTTGGAGATTTAAATCAATATATCACGATTGAATAT